TGAAACTACCTGGGTCATATGGCTGCTTTATTTAACATTTGGAGGAATTGTCAAACTGTTTTTCAGAATGACGACACCATATTTTATTCCCACCAACAATGTATGATGGTTCCAATTTCTCTAAATCCTTGCCAACACTTATTATTATCTGTGTTTATTATAACCATCCTAGTGAGAGTGAAAGATGTCTTGTTATGGTTTAAATTTGCATTTTCCTGATGGTTCGTGGTGTATCTTTTCATGTACTTATCAGTCATGTGTATGTCTTCTTTGCAGATATCTCTATTCAAATCCCTGGCCCATTTTTAAATCAAGTTGTCTTTGTATTGTTGAGTTGTAAATGTTCTTTGCACACTCTGAACACAAGTCACTTGTCAGATATATGATTTGCAAACATTTTCTCCCATTCTGTGAGTTGTCTTTTCACTTTCTTCAGGGTGTCTTTAGAAGCACAGAAATTTTAATTGATGAAGTTCTGATTTATCTGTTTTGTTATTCCTTTGCTTGTGCTTTTTGGTGTTATGTCCAAGAAACCATTGCCTAACCCAAGGTCATGAAAACTTACTCCCATGTTTTTATAGGGGTTTTATAGTTTTACCACTTAGATTCAGATCTATGATCCATTTTATGTTAATTTTATTGTATGGATTGGGGTAGGAGTCCCACTTCATTCTTCTGCCTGTAGATATCCAGTTGTCCCAGCACTGTTGAAAAGACTATTCTTTCCTCCACTGACTGGTCTTTGCCACTTTGTAAAAACATTAATTGATCATACTGCAGCCTTCTGAAAGAATTTTTAATTTGTTCTATCTTGATTTCTTATTCTACATTTTGCTGTTGTTTGCCACAATAGGTACTAAACATTATACTTCTTTGAATTTCATCTTTAATTCTATTATCTATAAATTTTTTTTGTTATCTATAAATTTTTATTTAAATTTATATAGAAGGGAAGGAATGTTAGACCAACATCCTGGTTGATTAAATGGGAAACCAAAGTAAGCACAGGTTGCATGGAAGCATAGAAGATGGTTTTAGGAAAAAGAAAAAAAAAATGAATTGGCCAGCTGGCTGAAATGGAGAGAACATTGTGGCATTGCAGTGGCACAGAAATATGATTTTTAAATGATGGGAAAATATTCAAAGAAAATTGTGCTTAGTTTGGTAAATCTAATCAGGAAATTTACATTTAATCCTAGCAGTAGCAAGGAATCAAGTTTGGAAAAAAGGGCTAATGAATGGCAGGATAAAGAGGCAATTTAGGATAGATTACAAAAGTAACAACAACAACAACAACATAAGGACAAGGAAATCAGAAGAACTACAGTACTTCAAATTTGAAGTCAATCAAGTTTCTTTCATTGCAATGAATTTGGATAGAATCGGTAAGATATTTTTTAAGAATCGGTTTTAAAATGAAGGGGTAGTTAAGAGTTGAGATGGAGGAGTGACTGGAAGGATCAGTAGGTTAAGTGTCTGACTCTTGAGTTACAGGGTCTTGAGATCATGCCCCACATGGGGCTTAGCACTAGACATGGAGCCTACTTAAACAAACAAACAAATAAATAAATGAGTTGAGATGGATAAAAATGAGGCCTGTAAAAACTACATTAGAATTAATGATTAGGAAGTCAATATTGCCTCCAAGGCTTCAATTTGGGGGGAGGGGGTGCCTGGCCAACTCAGTAGGAAGAGCATGGGACTCTTGATCTCAGGGTTATGAGTTTGAGCCCCATGTTGGGTAGAGATTACAAAAAAAAAAAAAAAAAGTTTTTTTTAAATTCAATTTTGGTTCACCAAGCAGAGAGGAAGCTAAATATCATTACACTGGAGATTCGGTCATGAGAATGTAAAAATAGCAAGTGCAGAAGGAAAAGAGATAAAGTTTAAGAGTTAGTGGTATGATAGGAGAAAAGAGAAGTTGTGTTTTTCTCCCAAATGAAAAGATTTTACATGTTTGATAAGAAAGGAAGAAGCTGGGCAGCCTGGGTGGCTCAGCAGTTTAGCATTGCCTTCAGCCCAGGGCCTGATCCTGGAGACCTGGGATCAAGTCCCACATCAGGCTCCCTGTAGGGAGCCTGTTTATCCCTCTGCTTTTCCCTCTGCCTGTGTCTCTGCTTCTCTCTCTCTCAAATAAATAAATAAAATCTTTTTTAAAAATTAAAAAAAAAAAAAAGGAAGAAGCCGTTGGGGAACATGAGGTTGAAGGTAAGGGGATGGTGGAGAAGCAAAGAGGAGAAAATTGTTTCCCCAATGTCAGGGGAAATTTTCAACAAGAGTTAAGAGGAGGCTAGAATATACCATCCTGGGTAGGAGAGAGAGAGTGCTACCATTAGATGAGCAGGGCTCCTCTTCCTTCTGGGTCAGAGGGTAGGGTGAAGAATTGCATATGACTACAACTGGAGAAGAGGACGCCACCCAAGGGAGTCCCTGTTAGATGCCCTGGCTCTTCTCAGGAATACTCGAATTTATTGTGGGAATTTCTAGGAATAACAAAAGATGAATAGAAGTGCTAAAGAGCAGGAGCCTGGGCGGCTCAGTCAGCTAAGTGTCTGCCTTCACCTCAGGTCATGATCCCAGGGTCCTGGGATCAAGTCCCACATCGGTCTCTCTGCTCAGTGTAGAATCTGCCTTTCCCTCTACTCTTACCCACTGCTCGTGATCTCCCTGCTCAAATAAATAAATTAAAATCTTTTTTAAAAAGTACTGAAGAGCTCCTACAGGGGCTCCTTCAAGTTGCTATGAATCTATAACAGGCCCATTGGCTATATTTTCATGACTTCTCCAGGAACTTTCTCCATGAAAAGTTGGATTAAGGGACTAATCTAAGTTTAGTCACTGGCTTGGCTGCAGCCAAGGGTCTTAAGAGAGAAATATGTTAGTGAAGTCAGCATTAGAGGGGATAAAATCATCTTTGGCTAGTGATCTATCATAGAGTTCTGAATCCTGATGCTTCAACAAGACAAAGGTGTCCTCCATAGTAATTCTGCAAAGAGAATCACCAGGAATCTGACCTTCCTTATGTCTGACTCCCCATTGTCAATCTCATTGTAATGCAATGAGTACAAATTTCTCAGCTATTGCTTTGAATATATGTTTATAGGGTTGCAGGATTGGCCACTGAAGTTGGAAATCATTTATCTGCATCAGTAATTCTGATTGAAGTTCAGGATGTGTTTGTAGTGGAGGTTAAGTCAAGCCCTCTTTAGGGGGAAGAGAAGGGAGAAAAGTATGTTGTCCACTGGTCATGGGAAAAGGCAGCCCTCTCATGGTGAACGGCACCACTGAAAGGCAGAGGTAATGGCTGTCCAGGAGACAGTGAGAGGTTTGAGATGAAGCAAGTTAGAGAAATACTTTCCTTTGAAGGAACTAAAAGGAAAGTACAGTTAAAAAAAAAAAAAAGAAAAAAAGCAAAGCACAATCAAATGGTCAACAATAGACATGTCTGTGAAGCCGCTGTGCAAATGTAGGAAAGGGAGTCATCATGCTGGGTTATATTGCTTTTTTTGGGTCATATATATGATATAGTGTACTCACAAGTGACTGTAATATATTTGATTATATTTATATATTATATATATATATATATATATATATATATATAACCAAGTAATAGGTAGATATCCCAGAATGAATATATATTCAAATATAGTTTTTTCCTTCTTCCCAAGCAAATTAGAAAAATCCAGAATGAATATAAATATATTCATATATAAAGAGGAAGAACCTAATTGTTTTACTTCATCCCCAACACCAAAAGAGTACTTTTGGTTCATCTCTGATACTCATCTCAGTTACTGCAGCTACCAATCTGGACACAGTGGTACCCAGGAAGACATTTTCCCTCATACATTCCCTTATCTCCAACAGAAGTTTCACTGAAATAAATTAAACCGAGAGTGTGAAGTATTGTGGGGTTTATCTGCTATTTATTGCTGTGTAACAGTAATCTCAAACCTTAATGTCTTGAAACAACTATAATTCATTGTTTGGCATAATTTTGGAGTTGGCTGGCACAGATGGGTGGCAGTTGTTCTCCATTTGGGATCATCTGGAGACACTCATGCAGCTGTTGCCATCTGGAGGCTCCAATGGGGCTGGGCGATTCAAGATGGCCTCAAGATGGGATCCCAAGAGTGAGAAGTGAAGCTTACGATCTAGTCTGTGGCACTCACACAATGTCACTTACACCTCATGCTGTCAGTCAAAGAAAGCCAGCCCAGGGTCAGATGTTGGAGCAGATGGGGGCACCTGGGTGGCTCAGTTGGTTGAGCAACTGACTCCTGATTTTTGCTCAGGTCGTGATCTCGGGGTGGTAAGATCAAGCCCACCTCAGGTTCTGTGCTCAGTGGGGGGTCTGCTTGAAATTCTCTGTCTTCCTCCCCCTCTGCTCCTTACTTCACTCAATCTCTCTGTAAATAAATAAATAAAATCTTAAAAAAAAAGTTTGGAGCATACTGAACTGCCACTTACTGATGAGACCAATTATAAAGATTCTATGGCCATTTCTAACTCTTCACAAAGGGATTAAACACTGTTCCATCTGTAAAATGCATACTAGCATAGCTGCCCCAAAGCAAATTATTTCAAAAATGTTAATTGTTGTTATTATTTGATTAGCCTTTTCCTCCTGAATAAAAAGCACTTTTCCTGGGTAGGGAATAAGTGAGTTTTTCTTTAGATGGAACTGAAAGTTGATCAAAATATGTAAAACAAAAATATTAAACAACCCTTACGGGATTCTTTGAATCTGTATTAAATGCCTGAGCATATATGTCATGTAAGAATTTGAGGTGTTTCAGAGAAAATATTTGATTAGCATGTGAGTAATTTGATAGACCTGGGATAAAAAGAAAACTTAAAATGACATAAAATTTTAAGTGTCCCACTCACAAAGTTCTGGGGACATAAAAAGTATTACCCCCACCCCCACCACCCTGGCTTGTACTTTGCTAGATTGTTGATCTTTCACTTCATCTTCTCTTATATTGCCTTTTCAGGAATTAGAGAATAAAATCTTAGCATAATGTTCCTCAACAGGGACACCAATCCAAATGAAGAGGACGAGGTGGCAGAGTCTTTCAGATGGTCGGTACGTGCTTACAATTCTGTAATACTCTACATGGGAAACTTTACGTTCAAAAATTGTGAAGATTTCAATTACTGAATACCTGGTGACATACCTGGGGATATGTTACACTCTTTTGTCACAGTGAAATGTAGCACTTCCACGAGCAAGTAAGGGCAAGAGCTGTTTTCACGACAATGGCAGTCGATTGAAGAGGCCATTCACTCACCTTAGCCCAATTCGTATTTCTTGCTCTTGCACCAAATTGCTAGTATTGAAGGGAAACTCTGCATTGAACTAATGACTCAAATTTGGGCTCTCACTTTGGACTTTCTGACCTTCCAATCAAATGGCCTAAGAAGCTTCTTGGGAATAACTGAGTTAGTAGGCCAGATGCTCTAGAAAATGAGATTTTATTCTTTCAATACAGGAGTTTAGATAAGGAGCATACTCTGAGGAAGTATTTCTTGTCTTCTCTGCCAACAACTATTCCCAAACACTCCACAAATATAATTATTTTTTTTGGTAAAATATCTTAGTGAATAAGGGCTATTATACTTTCCTTTGCACTTCATTCCCAAACATTCTGAACCCTTTGGACACCGGGATGAAACTTTGATATCTACATCATCTGGCTCTCTTTCTTCCTTAACAGAAAAGTAGCCTTACTCAAAACAAGGGTTGCAATCCTCCACAGCTCTTTCTCTCTCCATGGCAGCTCATCATACTTTATATTGGAAAGGTCTTACAGACTTTAGAATCCAAGTCTAATGGGTCCATTTCATGGCTTAAGTGATGCATCTAAATAATATCCCTTTCTGGGAATGGCTGTGAGATTTGACATTGCCACTACTAACTCTGGTTAGTTAGAGATATCTTCCAAAAATAGGTGCTTCCCTGTTTTCATGATTATTTGTTATCCTTTTTGTTCTAGTGTTGTGGGTCTACCAGATAATTACATTTGCATCCAATCTCATGTCTTCTCTTCCTTTATTCCCCCACAGCTGCCAGAATTTTATGCTTTGGTTGAACATTTTCGTAAGAAGAGCAATAAATTGAAACTCCTTAAAACTCACAGGATGTCACTTAGTGAAGCACAGGAAATGCTTAGTCAAAACCTCAGTGCCATGTCATTCTCCAGTGGAACTAATGTGAGGGAAGAAGTGTTCCAGCCGATTTTCATGTGCAAGGTGGTTAGAAAAGAAAAGGAGAAACCAGACTCGATGACTGAAGTCCTGTATCGCAGCTTGTTGACCAGCTCACTGTCTCCAGTGGAGAGACTCTCCAGATCCCAGCAGAGGCTCTTCCAGTGTGGGATTCCTCCTCCTACCCACACTTTTCCTTATGAGATTCTCACTGATCACTCCAAATCTTTGTCACCAGTCTCCATCCCCATAGAGGAGAAGACTCAGAGTGCCAACATATTACACGTGCTGGGCATTTCCAGGATCAGGCCACAAAATTTTATCTTTGAAGACAAAATTGCTAAGTACTTCTTAGTTAATCCAGGTAATCTGAACAGATGAGGCTCTGTAGGAGGAAATTAGTGGAAATCTTCCTGCAAAGTTTACTTGGGTTACAAGAGCCAAAACAGGCAAATAATGTCCCATGGGAATCCTGCCAACCCAGGGCTCATGGCTGATGTGCTTGCTGCCTATAGTGTCCATATGAGGTAGAGAGCAGAGACCTGAACATTCTAGGGGCAAATCTCAGGTCCAGTCTCAAAAAGAAGTGTTATAGATGTGGTACTTAAAGTCACCTTTATATAATTAGCTAGTTAAACTTGGACTCTAAATCACTCCTAACTATTAGGAACTTAGCCAAATATTTACCAAATAATGGCTTATTTTTCTTAAGTATCCTGGCTTTGATACAATGGAGAGGGTTTTATAAAGATATTTTTTCATGATCCTTTACTCTTTTTTTTATTGCTACATCTCTATAAACAAGAAGAAAAAACTCCTCCCTTAATTTCTGATTCTTTAATAGGAAGATATTCCTTAAAACCAAAGACCTAAATCAGAGAAAGTTAAAAATATATAAAATACATGGTAGTGAGTTTCAGTGAGAAGGGAGTGTCTCATAAGATCTTCATTTTCCCTAACTTGAGGGAGGTGATAATTTCTCATTCTACATCGCTGTAAAAAAATAGATGAAGTCAATCATATAAAATATTTGAACCTTCCTGAAGTAGATTCTCAACTCAAGATAAAGCCATTTGCACAGAAAATATTTTGACAGCACCATTTTTGTACTAAAAGTAGTGGGAGAGACAAGAGGAACAAATTCAAAGGAATAGATTGATTACTGTGCTCATATTTGATCCAAGATGCTGGAACAGTCTTTGCTGTAGTCTCAGCACTGATGTCTTGACAGAGTCTAATGCTGGCTTCAAATCCCTTTGATAGAGTCATACTTGCTGTGTTCTGGAGCCCAGGCAGAAGTAGAAATCAGAGCAATTGTAGGAATGGCCTAGATAATCCACAGAAGTGCATAAATTAAAATCTGGGACCAGAGAGAAAAAAACATAGAAAGTATCAGGAATCAGTAAGTACTGCCAAAGAGCTACTGAAAGAATACTGAAGGCTTTGGATGTTTGGTAGGATGTTCATGGTTTTGCCACCCACAGGAGCCAACAGGTCCTTTCTTCCCAATACGTAGCTTGTCTCCTGGCTACCTAACTTCTAGAGGTCTCCCATGTAGGCCTTCCAGACTCCATGTTGGAGTTTCTTCTCTGCCATCATGACCTCATTTTCTCAGGTCCTATAGGCAGAATCTCAGATACACACCTTGTCTATCAAGGAATATGCATCAAGCCGGGTAGGCATCCATATGAAGAATATTCAGTAACTTATTAGGTTTAATTGGTATTGTAACAATTCATTTTTTACTTTCCTATTTTGTTCAGTATTACTATCATTTTATCAGCCAGCCAACCCCCAAAGTATTCTCGGCCCAGAAGAATTTTAGGACTCTTGGTATACCAAAAAATATTATTGAACATATCCCTTACTAGCACTGGGGAAGGAAAAAAGTAGGCACTACCATTTTGTTCTTCCGTCATATAGCTCCTCTTGCTCAGGCTAAATCCTTTGGGACCATGTAGGTTACAAATGTGTTTGACCAAAACTGACAGAGAAACCAAATAAAGATTATTTTTCTTGTATACTTAGAAGTCTGGAGGCAGGCAGACAAGTGTTGGAGCAATGCTTTTTGATATTGTTAAGGACCCAGGGTCCACCATCCTTTTGTGTATGGCTTTTGTCTTCATGGCCAAAAGATGTCTCCTTCACCTCCAGGTATTATGGCCACATTCCAGGCAGGAAAGGGGGCTAAGATGAAGGGCCACACTGGCTACTTCTGTCCCCTTTTATTAGAGAAACAAAAATTCCTCAGAACACTCCTCCTCCAGCATCTCATTTGTCTCCTCCCTACATCTCACTGGTCAGAATTGTGTCCAGCAGCCATCCCTGACTGTTGGGTGGTGAATAGAGATGTTAGTTCTTCACTCTTTACAGTAGAGGAAAGCAGAAGAGGATTGCAGTGGGTATGCAATGAGCCAGCTTATAGTGTCTAGCACAGATCACAACATAAATAATCAAAATCATCAACTCTGTGGTCATATCAAGTACTCCTTTCCTTCCTTCTGTAACCAGTTCTTCCAGTGCCAAGCCTGCCAAGATCTTGTTGAACTCTTTGACATTTGGTAACTTCCCTTAGGGAGACACCATTGAACACCAAAGTTCAACACCAGTAGCATGATCCAGTATCTGTTCCACTAGGGAAGGTATGAACTCAAGGAACAGTCCCTGGCCCCAGTCTCCTACTTTAGGCATGTAGAAAATATATACAGAAACTCAGGCCCTTCTAGTACAAGGACAGAGGCCTGATTGGCAGAGGGGCCATATCTAGACCATCAGTGACCTGCTCAAACATCACCGTACAAGGAGAATGGTAAGAGAGAATTAGATCAGCCTTCCTGTTTGTTTGCTGTATCCACTATTCTCCTTATACTCCTCACATTCATCTCTTTGGCCTTTGGTTTTACACTTTTTTTGTTCTATTTTGTTGTTGTTGTTCTTCTTCTTTTGGGGGGAGTGGTTTACAATTTATTTAGTCATTAAAGGAACTGAAAGGAAGGGAAAGAGAAATGACTGCTGAGTAAGAGAATATGCAGTGTATCTTGGCCTGACTTTCCATGGTTCATTAGCTTCCTGAAGGGATTATAATTACTGGTGATGCCACAAATTGGTAGCTACTGAAAGAGAAGCTAGCCCCTACCCTTTTATACCCAGGGCTTACACTAGCAATCTTGGAAAAAATGACAATAGCAACCAATGTACTTCTGACTAATCTTTGTCCTTGTTTTAAGCCTTCATTAGGATCCTTTTCTCCTCCCTCTTGATCTCAGAACTCTGTAGATCTCTCCATTTGTCCATTATTATTACCCAAACACCAAATGGGAGCCCCTCCACTTGCTATGGCCTTGCAGTGTCCACTCCAGCCCAGTTAGCCAGGCCTACCCAGTTTCCCATTTGGAGGAGGGCTTTAGGCCAGATGAACACCACAGGTGCCCCCTAAAAATGTAAAGCTCCAGAAACAGCTTTCTACCAGAGGGAGAAGGAGATGCAAGTTCATCAAAGGTTCATTCTGTCCATGAAGCATCTCTGAATAACTGAAGGCTAAATAACACCATCATGTAATTCTTTGAAAATATGATTCTTTGCAGAAAAACAATTCATGGATCTAAGGGACCTTGAATGGCGATATTACAAGGGGATAGTGAAATGGAAGCACAGTGCTTTGGATTCATTCATAGACATAAAGCACGATGATGAGAAGAGATTTGTGGAGAGCCGGGAGATGCCTGGTGTCATTTGCCCCCCTATCCTTCATGGGTCTTTAGTCATTTACCCTCAAGTTGATTATCAAAAAAAAATGTAGCTTCTTCTTAAATAAAATATGTAGTTTATTACAATATTTTGGATGTAGATTTTGTTTTTAAGAGCATTGAACTTACACGTGAAAAGTAAAGAAGCAGATGGAATGTAGAAACTGAGTGTATACAATATTCATGTAGGGTCCAAAATTAAACCATTAATATGGAGAACAAGATACAGATTGATCTTCTTACATAAGACCAGGTTTGGATCAGTAATATCCATCTGGACAAGGGCTGAGACAAATCTAGATCATGTGAAAATAAGTGTAACTATGAAGGAGAACTACTGAGAAAGAATAGCTCTTTAAAACATTTTAAGCACATGAAGAAGTGTATTATCATTTAAAAAGTTGGTAAATTCAACAAATCAAAGAATTAACCCCTGAGGATGTAGAGAGCAATCTGAGTACTTAAAAAATAATATGTTAACTGCTTAAAGACACGAGGAAGGAAGTAGCATTTACAAAACAAGAACAGGAAGATTTGAAAAAAAAATTGGAAATCTTGAAATTGAAAAATATGATTATTTAAAGTAAAAGAATAATCCTAATAGCCCTCAATAAATTCTCTCAGTGGTATACTGGATGTATCTTAAGAGAGAGGATTAATGACTTGAAAGATAGCACACAGAGAGAAATTTCTCAATCATGGCACAGTAAGAGGAAAGGAGGAAACTCTGAAAGAAGTTAAGGGTCTCGGAGGGTAGAATGAGGAGTTCAGAAGTATATCCAGTGGAAGTTGCAGAAGAAAATAGAATGAACAGAAAAGAGGTGATGTTTGAAAATGAAAAGACTGATAATTTTCCAGAAATGAAATGAATGAAAACTTGAATGGAGAAACCTCACTGAATGATTAGCAAGAAAATAAAAAAAATAAAAAAACACTCTACCTAGAAACACCGAGTGTAACCACACAACAGTAAGCAAGAGAGGAAAATACAGCCTACGAAAGAGAGCAGAATGGTTTGGACACACAAACGTGACAGATCGACAGCAGAGCTTGCATGAACAATACACGTCAGACGGCGATTGTGTTTCAAAATGCTGAAGGAAAACACCTAGAGACCTGAAATTCACCCACCCAACCAGACATCTTGAAAGAGCAGGGTTAAAATAAATACGTTTGAAAAAAAATGCAAACGCTGAAATTCTTTACTGCCCATAATCCCTTGCTGAAAAAAGCACTAGCAAAGTATGTACTCTCACAAGTTTTTTTTTTTGTAACTTTTTTTTTTTTTTAGGATTTTATTTATTTATTCACGAGAGACAGAGAGAGAGAGAGAGAGAGAGGAGCAGGCTCCATGCAGGGAGCCCGACGTGGGACTCTATCCCAGGACTCAAGGATCAGGCCCTGGATGGAAGGCGGCAGCTAAACTGGGCTGCCTGCAAAGTGTGTACTCTCACAAGAATCCAGAGGGAGTGCAAGAAATCATGATCAAATATCAATGCAGATAAATGATCATACGAGATGTTTGTGATTTTGTAGCTACTAAAATATATTTCTGGATTCTAGTTCCTGATATTTTATTTAGAAAGTTTGCTTCCAAATGGGGTGCCTGGCTGGCTCAATCAGAGGAGCATGGGACCCTGGATCTCGAGTTTGCAAGCTTGAGCCCCATGTTGGGTGGAGGGATTGCTTAAAAATAAAACCTTCTTAAAAAATTTTAATAAGAAAATTTGCCTCCATTTAAGTTGTTATTCTGTAGTTTCCTTTTCTGGCACTATTTTTTTTTAAATCAGATTTTGCCTCCAGCATAGTGGATATCTTCAGCAGGAGATACTGTCTAGAGATGGGCCTGAGGGGCAGCTTCTGGGGTGCTCATAATCTATTTTTTCATCTGTACAAATGGTTGAGCATGCAGACATTCCCCCAGCTAGTCACTCACAATTATAAACTTTTCTTCATTCATGTCATAGATTTTTTTTTTAAGTTTTAAAAGTTGTGTGACCTTCATAAAATGAATTGGGGGGATTTTCATCTTATGTGTGAAGCCATAGCTATTTGTATATTGGAAATATTTATTTTTTTAAATCTAGCTAGAATTCGGGCAGCCCTGGTGGCGCAGCGGTTTGGTGCCGCCTGCAGCTCGGGGTGTGATCCTGGAGACCCGGGATCGGGTCCCACATCAGGCTCCCTTTGCGGAGCTTGCTTCTCCCTCTGCCTCTCTCTCTCTGTCTATGAATAAATAAATAAGATCTTAAAAAAAAAAAAAGAAATCTTTAAAACATAAATAAATAAATAAATCTAGCTAGAACTTAACTATAAAATCATCTAGTCCTGACATCTTTCTTCCCATTTTTACTATGAAAATATTTAAACAGTCTTAAAAATAAAATTGTGTAATGAACCTACATATACTCATACTTAGATTCAACATTTATTATAATTTTCCCACACTTAGTTCATCTATTCCTTTTGTTATTGGGTCTGCTGTGTCAGCTGCAGTATTTTAAAGATTTTATTTTTTTAAGTAGTCTCTGCACTTAACATGGGCTCGAACTCACAACCTCGAGATCAAGAGTCTCATGCTCTATCAGCTGAACCAGCCAGGCGCCCCTGCTGAAGTATTTTATTTTATTAAAAGATTTATTTAGGGGCACGTGGGTGGTTCAGTCAATTAAGCATCTGCCTTTGACTAGGGTCATGATCTCAGGGTCCTGGGATGGAGTCCCGTCTCAGGCTCCCTGCTCAGTGGAGAGTGTGCTTCTCCCTGTCTCTCTGCCTCTCCTTCCTGATTGTGCTTGAGCTCGCTCTCTCTCTCAGAGAGGCGGGGAGGGGCAGAGGGAGAGAGAGAATCCTGAAGTAGACTCCCTTCTGAGCACAGAGCCCAACACAGGCCTCCATCTCAGGACTCTGAAATCACAACCTGAGCCAAAATTAAGAGTTGACCACTTAACCAATTGAGCCATCCAGGTAGCCCTCTGCTGAAGTATTTTATTTTTTATTTTTTTTTTAATTTTTTATTTATTTATGATAGTCACACACACAGAGAGAGAGAGAGGCAGAGACACAGGCAGAGGGAGAAGCAGGCTCCATGCACCGGGAGCCCGACGTGGGATTCGATCCCAGGTCTCCAGGATCGCGCCCTGGGCCAAAGGCAGGCGCCAAACCGCTGCGCCACCCAGGGATCCCTGCTGAAGTACTTTAAAGCAATTTCTTGGGTTTCATGTCTAAGATATCATCCTTGTATGCTTTGGTGTGAATCTCAGAAAAATATGGACATTTTCTGTCATAATCATGATGACATTATTATACCAAGAAAAAAATTTTTAAGATTTTATTTATTCATGACAGACACACACACACACACACACAGAGGCAGAGACACAGGCAGAGGGAGAAGCAGGCTCTATGCAGGGAGCCTGACGTGGGACTCGATCCCGGGTCTACAGGATCACACCCCAGGCTGCAGGAGGTGCCAAACCGCTGCACCACCGGGGCTGCCCCTCAACTATTTTTCAAAGAATACTTTATTAGGTGATGCTGTGTACATTCAGATGACTTCACAACAAAAGGTAAATAATATCTCTGTTCCTTTTTTAGTGATTATGGGATTGAGTAGTGCATTTAGCTGGTGACCCATCAGCCTTCCACCTAATGGCCTCCCTCCACTGATGATTACCATCAGCATCCTCTATGAAGCTCCCAGTGCTCTCCGCCTCCTGGTAGTTACACCCCATGTAATTCCCTCCCTTGAGTCTAGGCAAGACTTACAACTTGCTTCTATGAATGGAATGCAGCAGAGATTCTAGGATGTTGCTTCTAGATTAAATTACAAAAAAAACTAGATTCTATCTAGTAAGTTACAAAAAAAAATGTGGTTCTATCTTGGAATCTCTCTCTTGCTCTCACTTGCTAGCTCTTAGGGAAGCCAGCTGCCATCTTCTGATTTGTCCTGTGGAGAGGTCCATGTGGAAGTAACTGATGTATCTCTGACCAACAGCCAGCGAGCATCTAAGATCCGCTGCCCACAGCCACATGAGTGAGCCTGGAGATGTCCCTGTCAAGCCTTGAAATGCCTGTGGCCCTACTGACCACCTGCAACCTAGTGGGAGACCCAGAGCCAGGGGCGCTCAGTTAAGCCAGGCCCAGATTTCTAAACCCCCAGAAATTGTGAAATAATATTTGTTGTAAGCTGCTACATTTTGGGGTAATCTGTTAGGCAGCCATAGGTTACAAATACAGTGATTTTTTTTTTCCTGGATTCATTATTTTCATTATGATCATTGATGATTTTCTTTTTTTTTCTTTCTTTTTTTTTAAGATTTATTTATTTATTTGAGTGAGAGAGACAGAGATAAGAACAGAAATAGTGAGAGATAGAGAGCACAAGTGGGTCAGAGAGGGAGAAGCAGGCTCCCCACTGAGTGGGGAGCCCTGCTTGGGGCTTGATTCCAGGACCCTGAGATAATAACCTGAGCCGAAGGCAATGCTTAACTGATTGAGCCAACCAGAACCCCCACTGATGATTTTTCTAATTCAGCTGTTAATTTCACATTGATTAACTGGGAATAATTTGTAAAGAACACCTTTCCCACATGAGTTAGGTCATATTTAACGACACTGAAATACAGTCTGTACAACGAAGGAAGTTTCCCTCTTGAGTTTCCAATTTGTAGATTAAGGCACTGATGTTCTAGTTACTTCCAAGGGTTGCCAAAAAAGGTGTTTCTTTCTCTCTTTTTAAATAGCCTGGACTCACTGGTGTTTGTCTTTAATAAGCTTTTTTTAAAAAATTATAATATCACACAGAAAATCGCAAGTTTGATGAATTATAGCCAACTGAACATAGCCATGGAACCATCCCCAGGTGATGACATAGAACACTGCCTGCAAGGCCTCTCCTGATCATGACTCCATCCCTCCCCTGCCAAGGAGACCAGTATGTACCTTAGATTCATTTTGTCTATTTTTGCACTGTTTTGTACATGTAGGCACACATTTGAACATGTACACAGCAAATTCTCTTGTATCTGGCTTCTTTCAGCACTGTCTGTAAGATGCATTTTGGTTTTGTATGTAGTTAGTAGTAATTT